AACTTTGCGGTCTTCAGGGTGGGTGGGACGTGGGAGCTGGGGAGCGGGGGGAGACCAGGCATCCCTGAAACCTCCGTGCTGTGGTGGCCATGCTCCCTGCCCGCCCCCCCAGGCCTGGGCGCAGGCCAGCGGGCGCTATGAGGGGTGCCCCGAGGACCCGGCCAAGTGGAAGACCAACTTCCGCTGCGCCCTGAGGAGCACCGGCATGTTCGTGCTGCTGGAGGACCGCTCCAAGTGCGGTGACGACCCGCACAAGGTCTTCGCCATCGACCCAGGTGAGCCTGGCCCCGTGGGGGGCTGTGGTTGGGGTGGGGGCAGGCGATCTCAGGGTGCCCCGCTCACGCTGCTGTCCTTCCAGCTGCCCTCTGGCCTGGCCAGGAGGGGGATTTCAGCAGCCCTGATGCTGCGGTGGGTCAGCAGCCGCTGCACCAGCAGCCACAGGTAATGGGGTGGGCATGGAGGTCTGGGGGGGGGTTCCCACTGCTACTGCTCAGGCATTGCACCCCATGTCCTTGGGGTGCTCCTGAGCTGGAGACCAGCACCCAGCCGAAACCCAGCCCAGGAGGCTGAGTGCCCCTCATCCAGAGCGGTAAGACCCCTTCTCACTTCCCTTCGCAGCTGGAGCTCAACCCCCAAGATGTGGCCCCAGAAATCACCCCCCCAGGTAGGTGCTGGTCCCCCAATTTTTTCTGGGGGGATACCCTGGTAGGCTGAGCTGGGGCTGGTTTCGGGGTTGTGAGACCTCCCACCTGCTGTGCCCCGCCTTAGGCAGCACCAACCCCGCACGGTCCCCGACGCTGGAGGACCTGGAGGCGCTGCAGTGGGTGCTGCAGCACTGCGATATCTCCCCCCGCGACCTTGATTCCCCGACACCATCCTGGGTGCCTGCAGGTGAGACCGGCCCCGCTCGTGAGGTGCAGGGTGGGTGATGCTATGGTTGGGTGACCCCAGCCCCTTCCCACCGGTGATTTCTCTGCAGCAGACGCCCCCCACCAGGACACTCTGCTCCAGCCTCACCCAGACCCCAGCCAAAACAACTGCCTCCCCCCACCAGCATTTCAGCAATGGGTACCCACGGCGGAGCAGCCCCCCTTGGGCACCTACAACCCCCTGGACCCCATGCTGCTGGCAGAGCAAGGTGGGTGCTGTGGGGCAGGATCCAGCCTCAGGCATGGGAACACCATAACGGGGGTGGGAAGAGGCCGGGGTGCTGCCATGTGCACCCCATGCCAAAGCAACCCCACCCTGCTGCAGCCCGAATGGCGATGCTGACGCTGGCCGTCTCTCGCCGCAGGGCCCGTGGCACTGCCGTGCCACCTGCCGGAGGTCACGGTCCCTGTGCCGCCCCCAGGGGAGGCGATGCTCTTTGCCCCCACTGCCAGCCCTGTGCCACCGCCACCGGAGGATAACACAGGTGAGGGTTATTACTTATTAATAGCTATAAGTAATTATTAATAATAAATATTATATATAATTATTAATAGTAATGCTGGGGGCGGGGGACACGGCTGCTGATCACTGCCCAGTGCAGGTGGCATCATCCCCATCCTGGACGTCAGCATCTACTACCGGGGGAAGCTCTTCCACCAGGAGGAGGTGGGGGACAGCCAGTGCCTGCTGGTGTACCAGCCCTCCGACCCGGCAGTGGCCCTGCGCCCCGGGCGCCTGGTGCGCTTTCCCAGCCCTGCCGAGCTGGCTGACAGCAAGCAGCGGCGTTTCACTGAGGAGCTGCTGGGCAGCGCGGGGCTGCAGCTGGAGCAACGCACCAGCAAGCTCTTCGCCACTCGCCTGAAGAAGTGCAAGGTCTTCTGGGCCCTGTCCCAGCAGCTCGAGGGCGCTGAGGACCCCCCGCCCAACCTGCTCTGCCGCAACCAGGAAACCCCCATCTTTGACTTCAATGAGTTTTGCACAGGTAGGCAGGGGTGGGTTCCTGTTCCCTGCCCTGGTTTTGGGGCTCATGGGAGCCAGCTCCAGGATGTCACAAGCATCCGAACCCTCCCAGTCCCTCTGTGTCTCCCAGGCTCACCCCAAAACTGAGCCCTGTCTCCCCTCGCAGAGCTGAGGGACTTCCGCAATGGCCAAAGGCAGCGGTCCCCTGACTTCACCATCTACCTCTGCTTTGGGCAGTCCTTCTCCAAGGCCAAGCCCAAGGAGTCCAAGCTCATCCTGGTCAAGGTGCAAGGGCCAACACCCACCACTGCCCCACTGCTGCCCAGGGAGGGGGACCCTCAGGGTCCAGGGGAGATGGGGGGGTCTGCATGCTCAAGGAGGGGGATCCTCAAGGGCAGGGGGAGATGGGTGTCTGGGGAGGGCAACCCTCAGTGTCCAGGGACATGGGGGGTCTGGGGTGCCCGAGGAGGGAGATCCTCAGGGTCCAGGGCAGATGGGGATCTGGGTACCCAAGGAGGGATACCTTGGGGGCTGGGAGAGATGGGGGAACTGAGTAACAGGGGAGGGGGACCCTTGGAGACCAGGGGAGATGGGGGGCTGGGTGCCCAGGGAAGGGAACTCCTGGGGACCAGGGGAAATAGTGGGGGGCAGGTCCCTGGGGAGGGGAACCTTGGGGGCCTGGCGTCCAGGAAGGGCCACCCTAGACAGGGGGCAGCTGCCTGGGTCAGGGGACCATTGGGGGCTGGGCAGGATGGGGTTGGAGGCAGCTGCCCAGGGATGGGGACCCTCAAGGGCTGTGGGAGATATATATAGGGTGCCCCGCACACCTCCTTCCTCCGCTGCAGGAGGACGAGGCTGTGCAGGGCGTTGCAGCCACATCAGGCAGCTGCCCCTAACCCTGATGGTTTGCTGCCGCAGCTGGTGCCCAAGTTCTGCGAGTACTGGTACGAGCAGGTGCTGCGGGAGGGAGCCTCCTCCCTTGACAGCGGCACCGTCAGCCTGCAGCTCTCTGACTCCTTCAGCCTCTTCGAGCTCATCGAGCAGTGCAACATGCAGACAGACTGACCCGCCCCCACCCCGCTGCCTGTGGCCCCCCGGGACAGGCACCTGCCAGCAGGGGACCATCGGGCATCAGGGGCCGTGCAAACCAGCATCCCCCTAGCAACGCCACGGTGGGATGCCTACGGTGGGGACCTTTCCTCCTCCGCTCCCCCCACCCCAAGGACAGCTTCACCGGCCGGTCCTGGAGCTGACACGTTGCTTTTCCCCTCCCATCAGCTGCTAATGTGTATTTTTGTGGAGTACGGTCATTTAAAAATTTATTTTCTTAAGTTTTCTAAGTTTAAATATATATGTATAGAAAGGTGCTTGCTGATGTTGCCTGGACTTCTGCCCCCACTATCAGTCTGAGATCTTCACCCCTCCATCCCCCAAAACCATAGGGGTCCATGGCCAGCCTTGTCCCAGCAACGCTCCTGCTGGCAGAGGGCTCGCACTTGTCAGCATCTTCTCCCCTTACATTTGTGTAAATGAGGTAACTTCCCACACATGAAGAGATGCATTTATTGATGCATTTAGTTTTGTGCATTAAGGCTGCAAACATGACTTGCAAGCAAAGCATGTTGAGGACAGCTTGGCTTTGGCTAGACAAAAATAATTCTTTCTTCAGCAAGCGCCTCCCTGCTGGCCCAGAGTTAATCACTGGAGATGTTCTGGAAAAATACGGCAGTAACTACAACATGAAGCACCCAGAGCTCAGCTCTGAGGAGCAGAGGTTGTGGTATCTCAGGAAGGAGTGTGGTAACCAGCACGCTGCCTGAAGATGGGGTGTTCCCTCCCCAGTCTGGAAGCAGCTGCACCCCCTCATTTGGGGAGTGAGGGGTGAGGATGGGCTTGGCCCTCAGTGTTGGACCCTGGGCAAGGGGAGGTGGCAGCCTCCTTACCTGCCGGTTGACGTGGATGCTGCTGGGCCCGAAGGTGGTGGTCCCGTAGCTTGTCACGTAATAGTGAGCAGAGGGCTGCGCCGGGGGCTCCTCCAGCTGCTTGGGCACTATGGGGATGGGGGGACACCATCAGCACCTCAGCTCTGTGAAACCCTCAGCCCTCCTCCCCCCCAGAGCACTGCTGCAGCACAAACCCATGGCCATTGGGCTCACCTTTGGGCAGGAGCAGCTCTGCGCCAAAGCGGTGCCCACACGTCCCGCAGGTTTTAACATCTTCCTTTGTCCTGCGGAGGAAAAAGCCCAGAGAAGAAGGAGCAGGAGCTGCCCTCAGTACTTCCCATGGAAGACAACGCCAAGGCGATGGAAGAGGCTCCTTCTTTCCACCCTGACCTGAGGTCCCGCCATCGGAGGGACAGCTGCTGCCTTCCCAGGTGCCTGAGCACCTTCAGCTCATCATGAAACGGGACGTGTGGGCACTTGGCCAGAGTGGACACTATGTGCCTGAGTCCCAGAGTCTCAACTTTTTCACCTTTCTTTCCATGCTTGAATTTCCCACACAAGTAAATGCTAACACCATGTGGGACGTGGGCTGTTAAGGTCAGGAGAAGGGCAACATCGTGCCCAGCAAGTTTCGCAACTAATTTCACATGGCTTTTAGAAGCTGACCAGCCCCACCAGCATTGCAGTAGCAACCACCCAGCTCCAGCCCTCAGTTTGGAGGGACACAGCTCATACGTACATGGCGTTTGTGCCATCCATGTCCGGCCAGATGAGCTCCGCGGGACAGCCAGCCGTTCGGCAAGGGGTCTTCACACACACGTGCAGCCCTGGCCACTCCTCGGCAAGCTTCTGGACGATGAACACAACTGCTATGAGGAAGTCCCAGGCAAGCTGGAAACCTTCCAGGCAAAAGGAGAACATCTCGCTTACTCACAGCAACCAAACTGCAGCAGCCCAGGAGGTACTGTGGTGGTGCATGCATCGCTTCCAGCCTGCCAGACCACAGCCAGAACAGTTGGACCAGCTCTGTTTCTCAAGTCAACCCAAGCCCATCAGTCTTCAAAGGGAGTTTAAAGATATGTTGGAAGAGCTCCCCAACTCAGATGGCCCTTTTGCTTACCACTTGGAGACCCAGCCTGAGACTGTACTCTGCTGGGACCATATGGGGAAGGATGACCCATTTGCTCCATGAGAAAACTGAAAACTTGACTTCCCATGTGATACCTTGAGAGGAATCCTGACCAGGTTGCGCAGAGAAACAGGAAATCTTTATTTGAACTGCTGGTGGACCCTAGCCAGACTAGGACATATGGCAGAGGCTTCTGGGATGCTCTGCCCAAAGGGGTGGAGGTGGCAGGGGGGAGCTAAGGAGAGATGTGTGGTTGGGAGGCATGAAATAAGGATTAGGGATCCTTACCTGTCCTTCCTGCCGGCTTTCTGCACCGGAGCTCCAGGTAGCTGTAGGCCCTCTGGTTATTCTCTTTGATCAGCAGAGGTTTGCCGTTGCATATGAGCAGGCAGGTTGCCTTGGCCACCCAGTGTGTGGAGTAGAAGGAGCAAGCTTTCACCAGGAACCTGCAAGGAGATTGCCCATGGCTTTCACCACCCTCCTCCCTGCTTATCTCTAACACTGGGAGGAAGCATGGCATCAGGTGGACTTGGAAAATATGAACGCAATTTCAGTAGAAACAGAGGCAGACACCCAATGAGGACCCTGTCCTACTGAAAGCTCAAGCAGTAGGAGCAACATCTTAAGCCAAGAGCTGCTTCCAGAGTTGGCCATCAGATAAAACACTGGACACAAGTCAAGAACCCCACAAGGACAGGAGACCTTCCAGAAACTGGAACAGTCCCAGCACCCATAGAAACTGGACCATCCTCAGATGGGACTGGGAAATCTCTGACTGCCTGGATGGGCACAGAATAGCCAAAAACCACCCGAGATGAAAGGTGAACCAGAAGGAGCATGGTCCTTGCTCACATCCAGGCAGCGAACATTGAAATGGTTCATCCAGGGCTCCACACATCTGTGGCAGAGCTGAGAAGCCACCCTGGTCTCCTGAGTCCCAGCTTCATGCCTCAGCTGATACGGTCTCAACAGCCAAGGGCTTGCTGACAGTCATACTGGTGCTGTGCCAAGCAAACCCCAAACCATGCAACCTCATCGAGGGCTGGAAACCACTGCTTACCTCTGGAAGAAACCCTCAGGTATTTCAGGTGAGAAGTAGGCACGGATGTGGAGGTCCTCTGGGTGATCGCCTCCCCACACCTCAGAGACCTCTTCGGTCTGGTTCAGATAGGTTGGGAACAAGTACCAGGACTCGCCTTGGCCCTGCGTTGTCTCCCACGGCTTCCCGGGTACAAACTCGCTGGCCTGTGGGTTGAGTGCTTTGGCATGCCTCACCTCCAGGCAGAGCTCAAAGTGCTCCAGGAGGCTGAAGAGCTTCCCTCTCCCTCTGTGGGGCCTGTGTCCCATGATTTCCTCAAAGATGTCCCGCATCCCTTCCAAACACAGCTGGTGCTTCACCAAGGCACGCACAGCTCGGTGGCACAGCATTGCCTTTGACTTGAAGGTCCACACCCAATTGGACCTGTCTCTGATGGTGGCATGTTCCCCAATCAGCGTGTCCACAGAGATGCTCTCGAGCTGCTGGACTAGGCGGTACCTCACAAGGAGCTGGGTGGGAAGAGAAGGAGAGAAGAGGTGGCAATGAATGAGAGGAGCCTAGCAAAGCTGCAGAGCTTGCGCCCTGCAGAGAAGATGGTCCTGATCCCCACGCTCACCTTGAACATAGTTATTAGGAAGGCAGGCTGTAGAAAAACAGTGCTTTCCAGGTGCTTGATTTCCTCATACCACACAACAAGTCCAATGCGGTGGAGGTACCGCAAGATGTCCTGGAGAAGCTCTCTTCCCAGGTTGGCCAGGTGCTCGCACTGGGAGAGTTTGCTGAGCAGGTACTGGAGGTCCATCATGCCTAGAGGGAGACATGGGAGCTCAGCATGCATCTCTTGGACACCAGCATTCCAAGACAGGTGCTTTAGAGAGCCAACAAACACCAGCAGCACCCAACATCACCCATGCCATCCCTGGGGAACCAGCTGGGACCAGTGCAATGCTTAGTGGCTGCGGCCCAAAATGCTTTACCCATCCTCAGCTGTCCCACTGCCACCCTGCAGCTCCCATGGTCTTGCCTTGCCTCAGTGGTGCCAACAGCCTGCCACGACCTCAACAGAGCATCTGAAAAAAATGAGGCTAATACTGTTTTTTTTCCTTGTTTGCGAGAGCAGGTTTGTTTCCAGCCAGAAAACCTCAGATATTGCCAATTAAACCTCAGATTGTCATTTAGTCATGCAGCAAGACAGGCAACAAAACCTGACTTATTTCCACAAAAGAAAAGCATTTGCTCCTCATCCTCTAATCCTACAGTGGCCAGGGGAGCCAGAGATGACACCGGGCACTGGTGGTGTTCATACCTGCTTTAGGTATGTAAGCGAGGAGCTGGGGCTGCCTGCTAATCCTGATGAGTCACAGGAGACACGAAGAAGGGGCGAGGGAGGGGTAGGAGCCATTAAACAAAGTTAGCAGGACATAGGCTTGGAAACCACACAGAAGCATTAAAGCTGTGGAGCTCCTTCCTGCAAGATTCTTTAATTGCTTATACAGGGCAAAGGGGAGAAAGAAAGAACATTACTGGAAAGAAACAAACCAGACAACGTGGCCAGCTCAGGGTACCTCCAGCCACAGGCTGGTAGATGTTGGCAGAGCCTCCTGGTGAAGACACACTCGTCCTTTTACTATGCTTTTCCCTAGGCACCTGCCTTGGGGGCAGATGCTCGTAATGACAGAGCTGGGTAGTGGCAATTTAATGCTCCAGCAATAACAGTGCAAGGTCTTCAGCAGCGACCCCACCACCACACGAGTGGGGCCAGAAGGTGCAGCAAGCACCAGAGAGCCTGTCTCAGCCGCAGGACAGCAGGTCCTCCCAGGAAGGTGTGGCGGGGGTGATGAACCACTCACCATGGTCTGCCATCTCCTCACTCTGTGCGATATCTACGATGGCAGCTTCCACCTGCCTGTAGACGGGCGGCAGCACTCGGATTACCTCAGGGAAGAGCTCTTCA